GTCTCACAAAATAGGATGGTCTCAGACAGCAGTATTTCAGTATTTTAATAGCGTTTTATTCCAATGATTTTTATCTAATTATTACTAAAATGTTGATTTCTGTGGTAACAAATATTATATACAAATATATACTTATGTTTCGTTTTTGCAATAATTTAAATAGCAGTAAGTAGTAATAAAGTTCCCTTTCAAACCTGACGGTCAACGGGGCAAGTGAAGTTGAGTTCACTTATTTCTGTGACCTCGGCAAATGAAGGGATAATGTGAAAAATTTAAATAGCATACATATAGTTAATGAAGATTGTTCTATTTTCAAAACTCAAAAATGTGAATTTCTCATTTTAAAAAAGAAAGTTTATACTATTCAATTAAAACGCTACATTTAGTTTATTTTTATAAATATTGTATACACAAACTTCAACCACGACTGTTTCTTTTCTGGCAAACAAAAAAAAAATCCAAACATTTCGTCTTTTTCTTGTTCATCATTTCTCAATCATCCGCGGTATTCATATTCTATCAGGTCAAGGGAGGCGACAAGTGCAGGTCCAGTTTTGGGCAAGGACATAGGCGTATAGGCGCGGGTCAGGGGGACGGGTCGCTACATTGCTGGCGGTGTTGGGGGTGGGGAAGACGCGGCTGTGGTGATCAAAGCACACATCATGTAAGCCGAGTGCAACTGCCGCCGTTACATTCACAACATACTTCTCTCTGCCGTTTTTGTGTGTTTGTTGTTGTTGTTGGAAGGGGAATTAACTCGGGCCAGTGATAGTTGGAGAGTGTTGAGGGGAATTTGGCCAACAACCTCCGGCCTGTCCATTTTTGTTTTCTGGACAAAAGTAAGCAAATAAAAGCCTACGGTTTTTGTAACTATTTTGGTAATTTAAAAAAAAAATCAAACCAAAGTAATCAGCATAAATAAAAAATTAAAATATTTTAGGTTTCATTTTGTAAAACAAACTTTAAATCAAATTAATCTTCTTGAGAATAAATGAAAGCATACAGTCATGGCTATCGTTTTTTTTAAAAAAAAAAAAACCTCACCAAAGCAATTTAATATCTTAAAAAAATTAAACTTAATGATGTAGCTTGAGTTGTCATCGTCTCCAATACATTTTCAGGTGATCAAGTTTTAAATAATTCCTCATTTTTATCCCACACCTAGCCTGAGCTTTGCATTTGATATTGAAAAATCCCCAGCAACTCAGGACTTCTAGATCTAGACTAGCAGTCGGTACCCGTTACACATAAATTATAGGCCTAGATATTTTAATGTTATACTTGTTTGAGAAAAATATTTTATAAAAAAAAGTGTTTTGGTCAAAACGCTATGTGCTTTACTACACGTTGAACGATATTAGTGACAAAGCAAAGAAATAGCTAAAAATCCGACACATTTAAAATTACATAGGCTACTAATGCCTATTAGAAAAAATAAAACCAAATGTATACATTATTAGTCAACACAACACCATATTAAATGCACACGCTGATTAAGAGACTTAAATGATTTCGTTAAAAACCCGGCTGTTCAATGGTAGCTATGTTGTTTTTTGAAGTAATTTATATTAGTTTAAGCAGAGAAAATTGTATGCATTTCACAGCGTACGTCTTGATAAGTAGATCTATAGATCTAAACCATATTTGAGTGAAATAGTTCATTTTTTCATATTCTAAAATTGGAAGATGACGCCATTAGTGTTGTGTTCTTTCCATAGTTTAAACATGTGAGATGTGACGTCATTGTTTAATGCGTTCTTGTCACAACCATAAACACTTTTACGGTTGCATAAGTAAAAATGTTTTCTACATTCGAATATTGCTTTATTTTTTTTATTCTTTTCTTTAAATAAAATTTAGTTCATACATTTAAAGCATCCAAAATATTATTATCAAGTCCGTATCTTTAAGTTCTCCATATATCGCTGAAGTAAAGTAAAGTACCCCATTCGAACCCTTGCGGTCCACTGTGCATGTGAAGTAGAGTTTACCTGTTTCAGTGGCCTCGATTTATGAAAGGGATAGAGTGTTCAGCAGTCTTTACTTTACCTGACGTGAGTCAGGTACCCTAAGGCGCTGAGTAGACTCAGGGACATCGTACGGACTCCGAGCTCGAGACTTTAAGGTTAGCAGCCAATCGCCCTATCGTTCGAGCACACTGTACCACTTGTTTGTTATACACATGTATACATCTCCCAATAATAATTGGCGTACATAAGCACTGCCCCATACAGTGTCTCCTCTATAGGTTTCAATGGACACAAGCGAGAAAAGTCTCAAAGGTATTTGAGAGGTGTATAAATTAATTTAAAATTCTTGCACGGCGTAGTTACAATTAATATGGTTATAACATCCTGTCTGTCTGGGTTTTTTCGGACTTTACTAAAGATTGGACGTATTTGATGTTTTTAATATTTTCGGTAACTAAATAAAAATTAAAAAAAAAAGCAAAAACAATTTGGTTTTCACGTGTAATGGCGACATAAACAATGGCATCCTGCTATTGGATAGGCCGACAAAAATTTTATTGTACACATTGTAAGCTAAAAATAGAAAACTAGGTCATGGGGTTTTTAATTTGCATTGTTATTTAAAAACTTGATCTGCAAAGTTTTGTAAACAAATAGTTATCGATCACTAAGTTACTGTACAGCCAATCAATATTTGTCTTACGAAAGTGAAACATCCGGTTATAACTTAGGCTTGATGAAAATAAATAGAAATGTAGCCTTAAACTCAACAAATTATTTTCTAGTTCTCTGGATTTGCAACTTTTATAGCATTTATTCTAAAAATATAAAATTTCTAAATTAATTTTAGCCTTAAGTTTTTATTTTTTATTTTTTTTTACGGTCTAAATCTAAAAAGCACGTTTTTATTCCATGACAACAACACTATGGAAGGAATCTCGTCAACTCGCTTGTCTCCATTGTATGACACAACAAAGAATGACGAGAAGAAATATTTGAAACTTTTATTACATAAAACTTAGAGAATTATCAACACAAAATATTGTTATTACAAAAAACTTAGACAATTATAAACACGAAATATTGTTATTGCATTATGTACAGGTGCAGGCTTGGTTAGGTGTTATTGTATCTACAAACATCAACAAAATATTACATCATTTATATTAAATTTTTCAAAGCACATTTTTGAAATATGTAACAAGTAACATCTGCGCAGAAACAATTTAATTTTTTTATTTTTATCCCCCCTTCCCCTCCCAACCCACAAGAAGAAAGCTCACTTGACTGTTGAGCATAGTGCTGACCACACTTTCCCTTCATATGCCGAGGTCACAGAAACAGGTGAACTCTACTTACCCCATGGACCGTCAGGTTCGAAAGGAAACTTTACACATGCCTTATCAAGGCTGGTCTATTCTTCCCTCGTTCACATTTCACGTATATCATAATTGTTGTATTACAACTAAAACACGTATTATACACATCATGTTTTAAACATCACGTTATACAAACCATCTTACAGACACCATATTGTATACACCAATTTGTAGACATTATGTTGAAAAATTCATTTTGTAAACATCAAAGTGTAAACATCATATTGCGCAAAACATGCTGTACACATCATAATGTATACATCTTGATGTGTAAATAAGTCTGACATTAAAAGCATATTATTTTATTTTACAACGATTGCACTTGCATGGATATTACTAGACAACGTGAATTTTTCTGTTCAATTTATAAAACACCACACACATTCATCAAATCATTTAAGACACAATACATCGTTTATATGTATATATATACATACATACATATATATATATATATATATATATATATATATATATATATATATATATATATATATATATGTGTGTGTGTGTGTGTGTGTGTGTGCATATATGTTTTGTTCTGTTCACAAGATATGACTAGATAGCACCATCCATTGTAATTTGTACAATTCAATTTGCAAATATAAAAATACATAAAACATGATTTGGGTTTCCAAGTCCATAGACCTGAGTTAACACTGTTTTTTTTTTTAATTTTGCGTGTGCTAAGGTTAGTGCAACAATTTTTTGTCAAATCAAAGCACAAAAAAACATCAGTTGTTGTAGGACACGTCTCATGCAGTACAAAACCATCCATCTTTGATTTATGATGTAAAAATGTAATAAGATGTCATGCGATCTCGTCATGGTAACGTTTTTTTTTGTGTGTTCCTCGTCATCACATTTTGTTGATTGGCCCGTACAAGACACCACGTGCCGGGATTAAAATGGCTGCCTCCACATAGCATCAATCACATAAAATCTATATATATAATTATCTTCTGGGAGCCGCTAGAAAACAAGCTGCAAACGCGCTCCCTACCTCCCCACCCCTACATGGTTTTAGTGAGCTGTGTTCACTCTAAATGTTTACAAGCAGAGCCAACGATTTTAAACGTAGGGGGGAGGGGGAAAGGAAAGGGGGGGGGGGGGGTTATGGTCCTTAACGAGCTACTTATAGTGTTTTAAAGAAATATTTTCAGTGGCAGCGTTGGTACTGTCGAATTTACAAATTATGAATTACTGAAAAGTAGAAAAAACAACTACTAAATAGCGGCGTATGTTATGCCGCGGGCCGGCTCGTATCTTTTATTTGAAAACCAAATGAAAAACACATGTGACGCTCCCGAAGTGGTCTCGCCGGACATTTCAACCAATCAAATTAGTCATGTTTCTCTTCTACCGTCAGTAGTGTGTCTGTTCAGCCGAGGTTAATTTTTAGCGAAAATTAACGGTTTTAGTATCCCAGGAGAAATATAGACACGACACAATGTCATTAGTTTGAAAGATGTCTTGTTTACAAAAATAATTGCGGATTACCCTACTTGTGGCAGATTTTATTTTACGGTAAAATAAGACCAGTGGTTCTAAAACATCTGTGATTAGACCCCAGTTGAGTTTATGTCGAGTAGACAAGCCGAGGCTTGGGTGAGAAGAACGTAGGGACCGCTGGGTGTAGACCATAACGTGTCCCGGGGGGCGGGCCGGAGCGTGACGTCGGTCCAGGCTTCAGAACCAATAGAGATCCTTGGTGGCCTCCTGCAAGCCCGCGGCGTCGATGGCTAGGGAGAGACAAGAAGATGCTTGTTAGCTGTAATTGCTAGAGACACGCCGGGATAAATTCAGGGCGTGTGGGGGGAGGAAGTGGTTACACGGAAACATGGCGGGTACATGGGGATGTGGGGGTGGGGTGTAACATCGTGATGTGGGGGTGGGGTGTAATATCGTGATGTGGGGAGAGGTGTAACATTGTGATGTTGGGGATGATGTGGGGGAGAGGTGTAACATCGTGATGTGGGGAGAGGTGTAACATCATGATGTGGGGGAGGAAGTGGTTACACGGAAACATGGCGGGTACATGGGGAGGGGTGTAACATCGTGATGTGGGGGATAGGTGTAACATCGTGATGTGGGGAGGTGTAACATCATGATGTTGGGGATGATGTGGGGGAGAGGTAACATCGTGATGTGGGGAGAGGTATAACATCGTGATGTGGGGGGAGAGGTGTAACATCGTGATGTGGGGAGAGGTGTAACATCGTGATGTGGGGAGAGGTATAACATCGTGATGTGGGGGAGAGGTGTAACATCGTGATGTGGGGGAGAGGTGTTACATCGTGATGTGGGGAGAGGTATAACATCGTGATGTGGGGGAGAGGTGTAACATCGTGATGTGGGGAGAGGTGTAACATCGTGATGTGGGGGAGAGGTGTAACATCGTGATGTGGGGAGAGGTGTAACATCGTGATGTGGGGGAGAGGTGTAACATCGTGATGTGGGGGAGAGGTGTTACATCGTGATGTGGGGAGAGGTATAACATCGTGATGTGGGGGAGAGGTGTAACATCGTGATGTGGGGAGAGGTGTAACATCGTGATGTGGGGGAGAGGTGTAACATCGTGATGTGGGGAGAGGTGTAACATCGTGATGTGGGGAGAGGTGTAAAATTATGATGTGGGGGATGATGTGGGGGATGATGTGGGGGAGAGGTAACATCGTGATGTGGGGAGAGGTGTAACATCATAATGTGGGGGATGGGTGTAACATCATGATGTGGGAGGATGGCATAATCTCTAGAAACAAAATGGGAAGAGGAAATGATACGCCCTTCCCCTCTTGATACACAATGTTACAGGAGTATAACATCACGAAACAATAGACAACGGATGTAACATTACATATATTGCCAAGTTAGTAAGAATTGTGATGACTTAAACAAGGAAAATTGAAAATTTAATTTAGCATTGAAAACTAAATGTTGCAAACGACAACTTTGATAAACAGCTAAATGTAAAACAGCAACTTTGACTCTCAACGCCATAAGAAACTGCCCCCCTCCCCCCGTGGTGCCAGACACTGACCAGAGAAAGTGCCGTGGTGTGAGGCGTAGTCCGAGCTCAACCGGTGGTCGCCGTAACGGCTTCTGGAATGGTCAGCGGCCTTCGTGACGTCACAGTGTGAGCCTACGCCGGAGAACTGGGCTGAGCGCATGGGCGAGGGCTGCACGAGGAAGCTGCTGTAGTTCTGGCTGAACCTGGGGACAGAGAAGGTCAAGGTCACTCGTGGCTCGTGTCCGTAACCGTAACCATAGATGTGAACGTAAACGTAAACGTAAACGTAAACGTAAACGTAAACGTAAACGTAAACGTAAACGTAAACGTAAACGTAAACGTATACCTAAACCTAAACCTAAACCCAAACCTAAACCTAAACCTAAACCTAAACCTAAAACCCTAAACCCTAAAAACTAAACCCTAAACCCTAAACCCTAATTCCTAAACCCTAAACCCTAAACCTTAAACCCTAAACCTAAACCTAGACGTAAACGTAACTCTGATACTTACCTACTTGACGTCGGGTAACTCAAATCGTAGGGTACTGGTCTGTGTGGGTAGGGCATGGCCGGGCCGGACGATGGGAAGCTGTAGCCCCAGGGGTCGGGCTGGAGGTTGGACAGCCCGTGCAGGGCCGGGGACAGGTAGGGGTGGGCGGGGTGGAAGGGGTTGACGTCCCCGCTGGTGCCAGGGTGCTGGTTGCCATGGTGATGACTTGTCTGGCTGAGAAAATGGTGGGGGTGGGGCTGGGGCTGGTAGGAGCTGTTCCAGAAGGAGGGGGGCAGGTTTCTCGCGGACATGGGCGTCGGCGCTGGGGAGAAGGAAAACAGGTCAGAGGTCATGTAAACAGGTCAAATGTGACGTAAACAAAAAGGTAATGTAGATCTGTGTACTTTGATGTAGATCTGTGTACTTTGATGTAGATCTGTGTACTTTGATGTAGATCTGTGTACTTTTATGTAGATCTGTGTACTTTTATGTAGATCTGTGTACTTTTATGTAGATCTGTGTACTTTTATAGCCCTAGTTTGAAACTCCACTACCCTTAGACGCCCTCCCCAAGACATAATTTAAAACAATACACAAATCAACACTATTTTTAAAGATTAACGTAATTTTCATTTTGCAACTACTTTGTGAAAGATAAATACAAGATTTTTGAAAAAAATAATTTTTAATACGTCACGGCTCTTCCATGTGGTTTACTATAAAAGAAATCAAGACACTCCCCCCCCCCCTCTCCCCGTGTGTCAGTCAAAAACTTGTCTCATTGATTCATTGGAATGATAGTTTAAATAGCAGTTGGCAATAAGAATTCTTGTGTTTTCTCGATAGGATCGGCCATAATAACTCTACTCCACCTGCTTCATTGGTAAACCTTCGACCATTCTTGGTTCAAGCTTTACATGTTGGTGGCACCGAAGCATGTATGCCACGTCACTGATCCCTTGCTGTAGAAATGCTCGGGGAATTCCCGTAGATTGTATCACACACAAGACAATCTGTGACAGACTCGCATCACGCGGTGTTATGCCTGATGCGAGACATACCCACGGGGGAATTTTTTTTTTTTTTTACTCATTTTATTAGGCTAACCCACGGGAAAAAAATCTTACTTTCACTCATTTTATGAGGCTAACCCAGGGGAAAAAATCTTACTTTCACTCATATTATGAGGCTAACCCAGGGGAAAAAATCTTACTTTCACTCATATTATGAGGCTAACCCACGGGAAAAAATCTTACTTTCATTCATTTTATGAGGCTAACCCAGGGGAAAAAATCTTACTTTCAATCATGTATGTTTGCTTTTATTTTCAGAATGTCTATTTCTCTGTTTCCAACAATTTTATTAATCACATTCTATATTTCCTATTAATTTATCTTGATCAAATTTTCCTTGATTTCAAATTTGGTGTGTGTCTACAAGTTACATTCTTAAATTTTTTTTTAAACTTTTCAAATATTTTAATAATTGTAATCTATTTTATTTTAAACAATTTTTAACGTCTAACGTCCCCCTAAACGAAATGTAATATATATATAGAAAACATACTTTTTCCAGTGTCCGCCGCCCCCCCCCCCCCCCCCCCACCCTCGGAAAACTTAGTTCGCCTCCCGAAAATATCAACTGCCCAACCCCCCCCCCCCCCCCCGGAGAAAAAAGTCTAGAAGAAATACTGGTTTGATACGGTCAATGGACGTTAATAAAACAGTTGCAATACGGCCAGCAAAGATACAGCATGTAGACAGAGCTTCGGGTGGAACGGGGTAAGTGACCTTCACAAGACTACTTTCCTCTCTATACTCTCATACATCTCATATATATATATATATATATATATATATATATATATATATATATATATATATATATATATATATATATATATATATATATATATATATATATGAGATGAGTACCGTCTTAGGCGATTATCCCCCTTAATTCCCCAACTTCATCACTGATCTCACAGTACACGGGAGACAACCTTTGTTTTAGCAGCCACAGATAACTCTCATGCCCCCAGTAACCCGGTCACGGATGGGTTTTCCCCCCTGTAAGCATCCACTCAGATTTTTTTTTGTCGCTCGACATTTTTGTGTGATGGGGAGTTGTCTACGATTGTTTTGTGCGAGTTTATCTGTCGTATCTATTGGCGAGATGTTGTACTCACAACATAAACAATACATCAGAATAGTTGTGTGTTGTTTTTTTTTTGTCTGCTTTCTCCTCCAATTGTCTGTTTGTCTGTTTTCTCTGTCTGTCTTAGAGTATGTACGACAGTTCATCCAAGATGACGTATGTATCTTAAGGTGACCGACTATTTCTTGTTTTTTTAGAGCATGTTGATTTTTTTCTTTCTTTTAGAAATCCGTCAAAGATTTCTGGCGAGGTGTCATCTTTTTCAGTCAGCCTTAACGACAGCCACCCCCCCCACCCCAATTGAAAATGATAGTTGAAGTAAGAGATTGTTGATCTACATGATAAAATACCGGCACACACATAAACTAGATCGGTATGTGCAAGTAAAAAACCGGCGCTTCTAGTATAAACAAATAAAGAAACCACGACCGTAAAGTTGAAGCTGAACGTTATTGTTTAACGGTCTCTCTCTCTCTCTCTCTCTCTCTCTCCGTACCTTCATCCAACAATGCCATTATTTGTTTTTAAAGTTTTAACATTACTTATAATGAAAACTATTTTTTATTCTGATTTTGTCGGATTTTTTAATTCGTGAAAATAAATGTCTGAAGTAAACACAGCGTGAAACTGTGGAGAATGGTCCCTGTATCAAGCTGACATATCGCCCCACAATCAGCTCTAGTTTGATGAGGTTAAATGCAAAGAATCACACCCCAATTACTTAACAAAAGATCATATCCCAGTTACTTAACAAAAGATCACACCCCAATTACTTAACAAAAGGTTATATCCCAATTACTTAACAAAAGATCATATTCCAATTACTTAACAAAAGATTATATCCCAATTACTTAACAAAAGATCATATCCCAATTACTTAACAAAAGATCTTATTCCAATTACTTAACAAAAGATCATATTCCAATTACTTAACAAAAGATCATATCCCAATTACTTAACAAAAGATCTTATTCCAATTACTTAACAAAAGATCATATTCCAATTACTTAACAAAAGATCATATCCCAATTACTTAACAAAAGATCATATTCCAATTACTTAACAAAAGATCATATCCCAATTACTTAACAAAAGATCATATCCCAATTACTTAACAAAAGATCATATCCCAATTACTTAACAAAAGATCATATCCCAATTACTTAACAAAAGATCAAATCCCAATTACTTAACAAAATATTAAATCCCAATTACTTAACAAAAGATCATATTCCAATTACTTAACAAAAGATCATGTTCCAATTACTTCACAAAAATTATATCCCAATTACTTAAAAAAATATCATATCCCAATTACTTAACAAAATATCATATCCCAATTACTTAACAAAAGATCATATCCCAGCTACTTAAAAAAGATCATATCCCAATTACTTAACAAAAGATCATATCCCAATTACTTAAAAAAGATCATATCCCAATTACTTAACAAAAGATCATATCCCAATTACTTAACAAAAGATCATATCCCAATTACTTAATAAAAGATCATATCCCAATTACTTAACAAAAGAGCATATCCCAATTACTTGTGCAGCACTTGACGAGGTTCTAGACTAGACCAATCAGCTCACCAAGCCTGATGCTGGAGGGGGTGGGGGTGGGGGAACTGCGCTTGTCTTAACTCTTGTCTCTCTAAGTGGTCTCCCATCTTTCCGCTCTTCAGCGCTTGTCAGCAATCAACCAGAGTAATCTACCCCTTGTATTACCACTACAACTGTGCTTGATACCTTACCAAGGGGAAACAACCGAGAACGTGTTGTACACACGGGGGTGGGGGGTGTACCGGGCCCTGGGGAGAGGGGGGATGATGTGGTTGGGGTTAAGACGAGGGTTGCGGGTGAGCAGTGTAATTACGCGTGTATTTCAAGCCTCGTCTCATCCCCCCCCCTCACCCCTACTAGATATCAGGAGATTTCCATCAATCTTTTACCATCTCGTTCTTGTTTCATTTTGTCCAATCATCATCACCACACCCCCTCCCTCCCCACCCTCCCTCCCTTCCTCCCTCCCTTTGCTTACACCTCATTTCAGATGTCATCGTTCCTCCCCCTCCTTGCTCCCCCCCCCCCCCTTTTCTTTATGCGAGTATTTTCTTCAAGCCCTTATATCATTCGGACATTTATAGTTACTATCTCAATTCTTTCTTATACCTGCGCATCTCCCTTCCGTGGAAATTCTCTCTCTCCCCCCCCCCCTCCCCCAGTGGGTACTGTACACGCTACATTGCCTGAAGTTCACTTCAGTCGAAGAAATGAAAACAAAAAGACTTAGAACAAAGGTAATATGTCCCTGTCTAGTGGGTAGTCTGCCCTTGGTAGCTCTGCCCTTGAATTGTGGGTAGTCTGTACTAATAGTTTACCCTTGTGTTATGGGTAGTCTGCCCTTGAATTGTGGGTTGCCTGTCGTAATTTTTTGAGTAGTTTGCCCTTTTTCATGGGTAGTCAGCCCTTGTTTTGAGGGTAGTCTGGCCTTGTTTTGAGGGTTGTCTGGCCTTGTTTAGTGGGTAGTGTGCCCTTGTTTTGTGGGTAGTCAGCCCTTGTTCTGTGGGTAGTGTGCCCTTGTTTTGTGGGTAGTCTGCTCTTGTTTTGTGGGTAGTCTGCCCTTATTTTGTGGGTAGTCAGCCCTTGTTTTGTGGGTAGTGTGCCCTTGTATTGTGGGTAGTCTGCTCTTGTTTTGTGGGTAGTCTGCCCTTATTTGGTGGGTAGTCAGCCATTGTTTTGTGGGTAGTCTGTCTCTTTGGATAATCTGTCCCAGTGAGTAGTCTTCCCTAGAACAGAGAGTAGTCTGCCCCTGTTGTGTAGATGCACTGTATTGCTCCTAGCCTGATGTATTCGTTCATTAGCCTCATCTGATGCTAGTCAAAACTTGTGATATGTAGATCTGTAGGCTCAGACAAAGGAAACCATTGGAACGATCAACTCCCCCCTCCCCACCCTCCCCCACCCCGAGTACATCAGAAGAACGTTTCCATTACATTTACTGCTGGAGCCTCAGACGTGAACGATTGTATGACCGTTTAATTATTACCATCAGCATGGCCATCGCCGGTAAATAGAAATAAATTATCATTTGTTTTAAATGTCTTTTCTGTCTTGCACGTTATCTGAATTTCTGCTGTACCCTCCTTCCCTCCCACACCCCACGTTTACTCTTTCCTAGAACAAGTTCACCCTCCCCCCACCCCCCACTCTAAAAAAAAAATGTATAAGCCTATGGAAAATATTTACTTTAAACAGTGTCCACCTTACCATGGAAATGTAAGTCCACCCCACTGAAAGTTAAAAGTCACTCTTTCCCTTAGAAAAATTCCTGAAAGAAACACGGTACGTAATCCTCGCGTAGATGTTGTATTACGGGTACCACGCGATTCTGATTGTGCTTAACAAAAGGGCAAGATGTTGGGCCTAGCTATCAATGGTCACTGTAGAATTCGATCTATTATTCAGAGGGTCACATACCACTATGTAAAAAAAAAGATGACCGTAAAGATGCGCTACGGAAAACTGCGCAACAGAGAACTGCGCATTTTGTTTTCTTAGGTGGTACATTTATAGACACTGGCAAAGAAAGACTTAAAATACATTGTAGCATAATAAAACACATTGCCACGAAATATAACAAATTAAATTGTATTAGTATAATTAGTTTGTATTTGTGTATTTTTTTTGTTTATGCAGTTTTTCGTTGCGCAGTTTTCTGTTTGTGCCTATTCTGGGAACCAAAAAAAAAGTCTCGCACACGCCCATGTTAGGTAAGGTTACCAAAAACTTTTAGTGCTCTATCAAACGTTTTCTTTTGTACAAATCAATCTTACAAGGTCGGCCTTGCCTTCTTTTTATGGACATTTTTCCCCCATTAGAGAGGAGGGGGGGGGGGGTAGGAGTGGTGGCAATGATTACAGTGGGCTATACATTTTCCGTATAAACTGAATATTTTAATGAATGTAATGTCCAGAAGACCGGTGGACCTGATTCGACCATCTTTGTACAGCTATATACCATTTGAGGTCCTAATATTATGGGACCTTTGCTGTTAAAAAAATCGTTGTCTCAAACTGCCAGTAGTTTCATAAAAGTCTGCTTAGAATGTTACTGAACGTTTGGTGTTAGTATTAGACCACCAATATAAAAACTATGGATGTGTGCGTAATATTTGTGTGATGCTGAAAGTAGTTCTAGATACCCCCCCTCCCCCTCCCTTATACCTTCCCACCGTGCTTACCTTTATGTGGCGCCGACTTAGTCCTGGTACCAGAGTGTCCGTCCGATGAGTCATATCCGCTGGTCTGATTAAGTGCACGTGTGAAGTGGTCGTCCACGAGCGTGGAGGCATCACCACTGACGTAGGTCAGCAGAAGGCAGTTGTTGGCCAGGTACTGGGCACCGCGGGGCTCCCCGTCTTTGGTCTCCTTCACGTGGGTCGGGGTGGGTGAGGAGGGGGAGGAGGGGTTGGAGGAGGACAGGAGGGGACCGGATGGAGGACCCGAGGAGGCTGGGGTCAGCAGCGATGATGCTGGGTAGGATAATGTTGACAACGACAGGGACGAGGTGGTGGACCCGAGGTCGAGAGGCTCCTGCATTCTGGACAAACTCTGGGGAGAAGCATTGACAGGAGAGGCATTGACAGGAGAAACATTGACAGGATAAACATTGAGAGGAGAAAAATAGACGGGAGAAAAATTGACAAGAGAAACATTGACATGAGAAAAATTGACAGGAGAGACATTGACAGGAGAAACATTTACAGGAGAGACATGGAGACGAGAAAAATTGACAGGTTCGAAGTTTGTTCATGAGACAGTTACAAGTTATAGATTTATGTTATATGTTTTGAAAGGAGGTATTCAACAATTGCAACCTTTTGGGAAACTTTTCGAAGGTTAAAGATTTTTGGGGAAATATACGCAGGTTACATGTTTTTATGGAAAATATTCGCTGGTTATAAATTCTAGAAGAAATATTGGATTATAAATATTTTAGAGGGTTATAATGTTTATAGGAAATATCCAAAGGTTGTAATTTTATTTAACATTGTGTATTTGTTAAGATTTACATTCTTATTTAACATTGTGTAAATGTAAAGATTTAAATTATGTTTAACACTGTGTAAATGTAAATATTTACATTCTTACATTGCGTAAATGTGAAGATTTAACATCTATTTTATCATTATTTATGTGTAAATATTTACACGTCTTTTTATCATTCTCTAAATGTAAATATTTACTTGCTAATGGGTACCCAAAATAACTGGTTAGGCTCAGGGACGTATCATAGACTTGCCAAATCGAGATTTAAACTAGTCTTTATATAGAAGTAAACAAATGAACGCCTGTTCATGCAGTTGGTTTTTGTTGTCCTTCTATTATTAGCTCCATTACACGAGGAGCATACAATCGTCCTGATAACCTCTGACCTACACCCCCCCCCCGACCTCTGATATATCACTCACGTGCTGTGGTGAGTAGTACAGACGCCAGTCTAGCGTTGTATGTTGATATTGACGTACAGTCACTGTCATGGGAAATAACTTGCTAATGTAAACAAAGGGGACGCTACTCAGAAGCACGAAACACTGGCAGCGAGTACATGTACGCGTGTAGCAAGGATTCTCACATGGTATTATAGGGTGGGGCAGAACTCTAATCCAAAGGCGTAGCTACTCATATCGGCGCCCGGGTCGAACCATCAATTTTGTGCCCCCTCCTATTTATAATATATTTATCCGTTAGTCAAAAAGCGCCCCACCCCCCTTACTTTCCAGGTGAAACGGTTGGTGGCGCTTTTTACCAGTCACTAGTTTTATTTAGGTGCCACAATTTGACGGTGTATAATTCAATACCTCAGTTTAAAGTGTTTGTTTTTTATTTAATGTTTTTTTTTTAAATTCTACCCCTTTCGGCGCCCCTTTAAGGTCGGCGCCCGGGGCGGCCGCCTCACCCTAGCTACGCTTCAACTCTTGCCTGTCCATTTTTGTTCTTTATTTGAAGCTTTATGACTTTTATATATTTTATATATTATATTAAATAGTACAACTAATTAATGAATGAGTTTGCTAAACCGAAAAAGTCCCTAGTTCGAACCCACTGGCAGATGAGGCTCGTTAGCTCGGGAAAGCAGCCATCTAGGAGAGACAACTCCAAAATCAAACAACTGCTGCCTTGTAGTTTGTTCTTAGTGGACAAAGGCTATGGAAGCAAATCCAAAAGAAAAAGCAGGCTGAAATCGGAGTCAACGGTCTATAAGGCGCAAAAAAAAGTTGACACGTAATACTTTAAACGCGATACGAAACCCTGTCGAACATTACAAATAAGAACTAAGAAGAAGAAGAATGAGTTAAAAGAGGCTTTATAGAGTAATTTTTTTTTTAAACTCCATTTGCTAAAGTTACAATTTTGTACCAGTTGTTCTATAGCTCAGTGAATCCAACAACTTAATAGAATGGAACTTCAATGCATTTTATACGCATTTTCTAACACGGCGATTCGCAATATGGTTTCCTTAATTATTAGACCTCTATAAACATGCAATAAAAAAGCCAGCTTTAGTTAAACAATGTTTGAGACCCCCCGATGACCTCTGAACTCTATGGAATGTTCTGCATGATTAGGTTGGGTGGGTGTCGAGTTGAGACTTATCTGAGATATTAAATTGCCGAATAAATATTCATAATTGATCAGATGTTTTGATACTTTTATAATAGGTGGATAAAACCCAAAAACTAATAACACTAATGAAAAATTAAAATAACGTTTTAGATTGAACTGGTTGTTCATTGACTGGTGGGAGTAGGCCTATATGACACAATAAAATATTAAAGCGAGTGACAAAATCTGTTGGGCGATTTTACTGTGTAAAGATTAGCTATACTAACTCCTGGCAAAAACAGTGAAATACATTAAAGTTAAGGTAAGGTTTAGTTACGATGTAATGGTTGTAGTTCTACATAAATAGGGAGAGTTTAGAGTTTTGGTGACTTTCGGGTAAAGTGAGTTCAGGATAATGTGAGTTTAGGATAATGTGAGTTTAGGATAAAGTGACTTTTAGGATAAAGTGGCCTTAGGATAAAGTGAGTTTAGGATAATGTGAGTTTAGGATAAGTTGAGTTTAGGATAAAGTGAGTTTAAGATAAAGTGAGTTTAGGATAAGCTGAGATAAGGATCGACTAAGCTCAGGATGGGATAAGTGTTTAAGCTGGGTGTCACCCTCCATACAACGAGTAAAAGCGTGAGTAAGATGTACGTGCGCGGTCCTCCGATAAAACTTTATTCAATTTTTTGGTTTAGTTTTTACATTTCACATAACAACTGCTCGGCTAAGTTACAACCGTATTGGTTGCGTGTGGGTTAAGTGTATTTTTAGCTCTGGGACTACCCTTAAAACTCTTGTGCTGGCAGAGGCGTCCGGTGGGACAAACTTTCGATTTGCACCCCCCCCCCCCCCTCGAACTTTTCATTTGCACCCCCCCCCTTCAAACTTTCGATTTGCACCCCCCTCGAACTTTTCATTTGCACCCCCCCCCCCCCTCAAACTTTCAATATGTCCCCCCGCCCCCCCCCCCTCGCTACGCCTCTGTGTGCTGGTCATTAATGATTCGATCTATAACGGACAGTTTGAAGATTTAAGCATCACATACGTGGGACTAATTTTTTTTACACTGTATGCATTAAACTATCTGGCATCTATACGGCATACAAATTGTGTAAATTGAGAATACCTTGCTGAGATTTGTACTTCTAGCGATATTTTATTCATTGAAGACTTTCATTTTAATTGGAATGTTGTTTTGAAAAAAAATTTTACTTGCGGACAATGGATAAAACAATGTGGGTTTAGTTCTAAGATTTTGGGCAGTTTGAATTGAAGCTATGGTTTGGTTTACTTCGAAGGTACGGTTTAGAGTTAGGATTTGTGTTACATTTAGAATTACGATTTATTTTAATTTCCTCAACAATAACGTAAACATGAAATTGATCCTATCTTGAACGAAAATTTAGCAGAGTAGGGCCTACAGCTAGATAAGAGAATATACACCTTAGAAAATGTATGGATAAAATTTAAAGTGATACATAATTAATAACTATCATGTAATTAATACCAATTAAATAATCCCGGCTAATTAAACCCGGGAGATTAATCAGCCTCTGTGAGAGTGTTGGCGTTAATCCCCGCAGTAGACAAATTGTCGACACAGGCTGGCATCGGTACGGTGTCGGCTCTCATTTAACGCCGTTGAATATTTACCCGGGATTAATGAGACCCGACACAGTATTGCCGCATATGTCAGTGCTTGATTGAACACAACATGGCGAATTTAGATATGGGGGAAGAGTAGAATGTAGAGGGAAAAATTGAGAAGAAATTCTGAGGTAACAGGTATGCATAGGTGAGATAAATTCTGAGGTAACAGGTATGCATAGGTGAGATATCTAAGTGTGTTACCTGGCCATGGGTGAAATCCGCTGAGCACGCGGCCCGGGGGTAGGCCGGGAAGGCCGAGGGAAACGGCTGGAACATCACATCCACACAGGTCATTCCTAGTCCAGGAGCACTCACGCTGGGGGAATAGTTCCGCTGTGGTTCGGTGTGGTGATGCTGTGGTTTGGTTGTCGTGGTTGTGGAGACGGTGGTTGTGTTGTCGTGGAGACGGTGGTTGAGGCCGCGTCCCGAGGTATGACGGACGTGTGCTGGGGGCCGTCTGCTGGAATGCCGACTATTGAACCTATGCCACGAATGCGCAGGTCGGGAGCTGTCTCCTGCCTGCAAATCTGCTTCTCGCACGCGCTGGCCAATGATGGATTCCCGCCTCTTTTTTTGTGTGTTGTTTGATGGACGTTAGAGGGGGCGGGGCTAAAGAGAGACAAGCAGTTCGTTTTCCCGTGCGGTGATTGGCTGAGAGGAGTAAACAAAGGTACCGTTACTCTGTCCTTCAAATGTTCGCGTGGAGTTATCCCCCTTGTGTGGGAATGTTGACAAAATGAGTGGAGCGGTTTCCACGCTGTGCTACTCTAGGCAAGATGGCTGTGTAATAAATCAGCACTTGTTTGATTGTCGGCAATCAATACAGTAACGTATCGAAGTTATTGATATAACCGATGCCTGATAATAGATAATATACTCATCCGGAAATTGGTGTTAAAGCTGTTTGGGTTAGGGTTTGGGTTAAGATTAGTGTTGACATTGGCAAAATAATAATACTTGTATGTAGTGCAGGGGTTACCAACCCTGTGCCCGCGGGCGCCATGGCGCCCGCCGAACGATTCGTATGTGCCCGCCTCTCACTATTCGACAGAGACAGAATTTTTTCATAAACATTATTGAAAGGTTGAAGGGGATGGAAATTGAAAGTTTGAGGGGGGGGGGGGGGGGGGGGGGGGGGGTGGAGGGATGCAAATCGAAAGTTTTGTCCCTGGACGCCGGGAAGGGTGTCGCTACGCCTCTGGAAGGAGTTTGTCGATTTAAAATAGGTGGTGCCCGCCACCCAACCGATATTTTAGAATGTGCTCTAGAGTAAAAAAAGGTTGGGAACTCCTGATGTAGTGAACTGCTAGTAACCAGGGGCGTAGCGGGGGGGGGGCGGGGGTGCGGACAGCACCGGTGACACCATTTAGGGGGTGACATCAAGGCAAAAAATAGCAAAATATATAGAGAAAACTTGAGGGGGGGGGGTGCAAATCGAAAGTTTGAGCGGGGGGGGGGGTGCAAATCGAAAATTTGAAAGTTTGTCCCCGGGAAGGGTCGCTACGCCTCTGGGGGGGGGGTGACACCATTAAGTGCCGCACCGGGTGACACCCGACCTCGCTACGCCACTGCTAGTAACATAACACGCTTTAAAAGAAGGTTCCTTTATTGTGGTATTATCGGATCCTGGTATAACTGATAACACATAACATAACATCTTTGACATCCCTGACATAGTTATGTTTAGGGTTAAGGTAGTGGTTAGATAGGGGGGTGGGGGTGGGAACACAAACAAAGATATGTAATTGGGCAACTGCCGGCATCAAGGATGTGCGATTAAATAATTTTACGTTCGCTTTCATTGGTTTATCTAGTTTCTATCCCTAATTTTAAATGTGATATCGGGAACTCTCTGTCTAAAAAGAAGCAAAGGCCATCTAGGTTTTGTGCTAATGTTTTATGGAAGCTGATCTACGACGCGAATCTGGGAAATTTAGTGTGCTAATCTATTCACCGTCTTCAAATGTATGTAACGGATACATTAAACACTAGTAGTCACGCGTAGCTTTGTGGATATGGACAAAATAATACTCAGCACTCTAACTTTATGGTACCCCCAAATAATGCCGAGTTCCTTTTAGAGCTAGAGTGGCTCAGGTAGACCCCCGGGACATTGAAGCCTGTACCCCTGGGGTGAGCACTAACCGACCCACCACGGGTAAGGTAACACAGACCTCACGCGCTGATGTGTTAACCACGTGACCCACCTATGTAACATGAGTTACCACCAGCCGACAGTGGGACGTTAAAACCCCAGGGGTCTGGCCGTCACGTCTTTGATGTACGGGCCACTT